AGCAAATTAGTTGAATCTTGAATGCATTATATAGAATCAAGGAAGCCACTTTTAAAGATTCAGTGATCAATGTGATTCTGTTTACTCAGCATGAATTAACATGAAAAGATAAAACTATGGTTATAGAGAACACTTTGCCAGACATTAGCTTTGAATGGAGTATATGATTATAAAGGCAAAAGGTAGGATTGTTGTTGATGTCGTGTAACTGGTTTGCTTCCTTATTGGTACCGGCTCAAGAATCTATACTTGTGTTATAATTCATAGACTGGAATACCAAAAATAAAAAAAAACAATTTTATTGTATGATAATTTACCAAGTTTTTATTTTTTAATCTCATGCTAACCTGTCTCATTTCCTTTTGTTTAAAGCAAGCAATGAGTTCTGTAGTAAAATTTGAAAGACAAAATGTATTCCTTATATATAAAATGTCTGACCAGTATTCTTTCTGACATTTTATAAATTATTTTAGTTCTTGAAATGTTTTTTTTTTTTAAAAAAAAAACGTACAAAGTAAGGAATGATAGCATATTTCTAAAAGATAATGGCTCAAAGAGGAAATTGCAAGAGAAATTAAGATGTTTGGACAAAATGAAAATAAAAGCAGCTCATCATAATTTGTAGAATGCAGTGAAAACAGGGCTGAGGGGGAAATTTGTAGCATTAAATGTATTTATAAGAAAAGAAGAAAGATTCAAAATCATTATTCTAAGCTGCTACTTTAGATTAGAAAAAGAAATGCAGCTTAAATCTAAAATAAGCAAAAGAGAAAACACAAAGAGCAGAAATGAATGAAATTAAAAATAAGAAATCAATAAGGAAAATCTTTGAAACCAAAAGTGGGATCTTTTGAAAGATAAGAGAAGATGCTTTTCAAATGTCATTTTCAGAGTCTAGTTTTGTTTTTATTATCGGTGTCTATTAACGAACAAAGTTCTGTATGCCATGCCCTGTTATTCTCCCCTGAGGTATTGTCTAATCATACCTAACATGACTAGGGCTTGGCTTTTATTTCTCCATTATAGTCTTTTACCACTAAATTCTACCTCAGTGCTTTAGTTTGTTATGTCTCTACAGCCATATATTTTCTTTTAGCCACAAATTTTACTTTATTTTTCTACTGATTTTATTTATATTTTATTGTTCAGAATTAGCATATCTTCTATTGGGTTTTATAGTTTAGAGTATCAGTGTGCAATATTTCAGTAAGCATTTCCACCAAAAAGAATTTTCCCACTGAAACTCATCTTCCGGTGTCAAGGAAAAGTAACATTATTTGTTTACATTTCTTGAATTGTCCTCCAAATCTTCTATGGATTAAGAAGTATCTATTGCATTTTTAGTTTTTTAAAATTTGAAATAGTTACCTTTACAATTGACATTTTAACTAAAGCAGAGCACCTGTCTACTACAACTGTCTCACATTTTGAATTTTAAGTGTCATTTAATTTGTTTCAGTGTCTCTGATATGCTAAATTATTATTATTTTTTGGTTGGTAAAACTTTGTAATTGATGTTTGTATCTGGGGGACATGCTATTGAAGGATTGGTTCTTATTTTAACCTTTGGCTCCTCAAAGTTTTTTTTTTTTTTTTTTTTTTTGGTGAGAGTTCAAGGAAGAGGAACAGTAGAAGAATTGCCCACTGTCCCTAGAAAGACTTAGGAGTAAAAGAGTGAGTCCAGGTTTGGAAGTTTTAACAACCCTAGCATAACTGTTTGGATTGAAGGAGATACTAAACTTTTTAGGAAGACAAAACCTATGTCTCCATTTGGGATTATGGGTATTTTGAAGTTGTGCATATTTTTTTTCTTAGTTCTTCTGTGCAGACTTTTTATTGTCCATGTTGCAGAAGTCATTCCAGGAGCACAGATGATCTGCACTTAATTGCTCTAGAGAGAGATTTGGAGCTGGCTCTGCAGGCAAAGAGCAGTGATCAAAGGTGTCCAAGGCTAACCTGGGCAACAACCTAGGCTCAAGCATGGGCTGTAGGCACAGTTGTTTTTGTTTTATTTATTTCTTCCTTTTTTTAAAAAAACAAACTTTTGTTGTTGCTATTGTGCTAGGGATAGAACCCAGAGCCTGCTCTAAAACTGAGCTACATCCCCAGTTCTTTTTGTTCTATTTTCTAAAGAGTGAAAGGAGAAGTATGGTCTGGGGTTGTGGCTCTTCAAAGAAATAACATCATTATCTTTTTTTTGCTCCCCTCGGTAAGCACCCTTAAATCATATTCAGTTACAGTTGAAGTTTGGATTATTTAACTTGTGATATCCCTTAAGACAGAAGCATGATCCCCTAACATTCTCATATTCATAAACCATAAACCGAGATTTCTTCCTGTGTAGAGACCTCTATACATGTTGATTGATTATAGTTAAATGACTCTTTCATGTATTTTTGGGTAGAGTACTCCATCAGCAGAAGATAATTGCCAGTCAAGCATGACATTTCTAGAGAGTCATACATAGATACACCCAACCCACAAAGAAAACTAAGTGATTTAAGAAAAGTTGCTAAAAGTGTTCCTTTTGATTTACAAGCTGTTTCCATTATGTCTGTGTAAAGCTTGAAGTTTAAATGGGTAAAATAAAGCAGAAATGGTCTGTAGTGCTTCTCATATTATACTACTTCTGTGTAATACTGTAGCACTTTGTGAGTAATAATTAGTTAAAGTTAATCCTTTGCCATTTTCATACCTAGAAAACCAGCAGATTACATGAATTCTGCATCTAAGAAAAGTTATAAAAACAATGAATTCAATTTATGGGTGAGATGAGAGAGTTCACCATTAGAATTGTGTTTCCAGAGTGCTTTGCTACTTCATTAATAGCAGATGTAGAATAAGTCGTTCTTCTACATGAGGAATGTAATTATTTCCTAAAGCCTCTTATCAGAGAACTATTGACTAACCTTTATTCATTTCTGAAAACTTTTTCAGCAAATCCCTGTTTTCTGTGGGTTGAAGGAACCCGTAGGCGATGTTGTATAGGGCATTGGTTAACTAAAATGGATCTCATTCTCACTAGTTACTTTCTATAAAGTCATCATGAACTTAATTGGCACATACTGAACTACTGCTCTGAAGGGAAATACAAGATTAAATTCCTTCCTGCAGCCATTCAATGCACAGTCTTGCTTTATGTATATTTATGTATGGTTTTGTTTAAAGATACCTTATTTAATAAATCTTATTGATTCATTAATAATAATAAGCCCACAGCCAACAACACAATATCTCACGCCTGAATAATGCTTATCTAACATGTTTTGTCTATAATGCATTTTATTATTTTGAGCTCAGGAACACTAGACAGTGTTTAAGATGGCTTGGGGGCCATTTTTAAACAGCAAAATTACTAAACAAAAACACAAAAAATTAAATAGTGTGGCACTAAATACACTGCAAAAGAGGACACTTGTTTATAATACCAGCACTGAAACAAGAAGGCCTTGTTCCATCTTGGCTGAGAACATGCCTGGTTGGTGACTCAAATTTTTGCTGTATTGCACATGTTGACAAATGACTGAAAGCCCAGTGACTGTGCAAATAAATTTTAGTACATAAAATTTTTTAAAGACAAATTTGCAAGTGTGGAATCCATGAATAATGAGAACCCATTAATTCCAGTGGTCCTTGGGTACCTGTTCAGACTGAGGACAGAATTTATATAGTCCTTTTATTTCTCTTTTGTGCTTTTCACTTCTTCCTCTCTTTTCTACTTGGTAGGTCCAACAGGCAAACTTGGAACCAGATGGAGCATTTTGCTGAAGCTCTATTTGGTAAAGATTTATTGGCTCAACCTTCTCAGGGTAATAATGCCTCAGTCTCCCTTCAGTTTGAAGGATAGATGGATTATTTTGATTTTTCCTAAGTGATGGAATTCATGACTTTTACTTCAAGTAGTAATAAGTTAAGCTTCTTACTTTTTTCATAAGAACAGTTAATATAGCTAGATAATTTTCTCTCCTTGTCAGAATATTGGTAATTAAGAATCCAACTAATCTAAATAGAGGACTTAACATTTTTTCTTTCTTTTTACTTCATTTCGTGAGTTTACCCTAAGTTTTCTAACTTAGGAAAATTTAGAAATTCATTGAGTTCCTTAAAGTGATATCTATACTATTAATTTTACAATCAGTAATTTGTACCTAGGAACAAAATCTCAACTAAATCATCTACTGCTGTATTTTAGGGAAGTCTTTCTTTCTGAGATGTATGATCAGTGTATCATCATTAGAAAAACATTATTGATACTTCACAGTATTTCTAGCTATTCTTGAGTATTAATTAAATAAACAAAAGTATAGCAGCCATAAAAACTAGTGGTGAAATATTTGGAGAACACCTGATTCAACAAAGTTTAAAGAGGTTTCCTTAGTATAGGACCTTAATATCACGTACCTTTTTTAATCTTCCAGAGAAATTCTAGTGTCAGATATACTAAATAAGCACTGTATGTTTCTTGTATTTATATGAATGTGGAATTCTTTTAGGCACCTTGAAGAATCACGTGCTCTATGGAATAAACCTGTGGAAATGTTGGTGTTTAGTAGCCTCCCTTCAGTTCCTTCCTTTAGATCTCATTTCTACTGTTGAAATAGAATGAGTCTTTTTCTTCTCTACAATAGTTCACTGAGTATTTTACTAAATTGTCACTAAGTTTTTCTTCCCAGATAGACTGCCCTTTGTTGGATTACCAAATGTATTTTTTTGGACATATGTAGGTGCTACCCTTATTAGGCTGTCAGGCCAATTATGGCAAAAGATGTCTTTATTTTTTCTGCCTGTAGTGTCTGTCATAGAGCAGTGTGATACTGTGTGCTTAGATAATATTTAGTAAATAAACACTAAACCTTTACTTTTCATTTCAATTCTATTATTTCCTCAAAAAGTACAAGGAACCAGTGATATGTTAGATGTTTGGAATTTTATAATGAAATCATATAAGGTTTTTTTTTTTTTTTTTTGAGAGAGAGAGAATTTTAATATTTGTTTTTTAGTTTTCAGCAGACACAACGTCTTTGTATGTGGTGCTGAGGATCGAACCCGGGCCGCATACATGCCAGGCGAGCGCGCTACCGCTTGAGCCACATCCCCAGCCCCATATAAGGTTTTTATTCTCAGAGTGTACTCACTTTATGCCAGAAATTATGACTTTGTCAATGCTAGAATTGTTTTAAGATTGCTGTTAGTTTAAAATATCTTTCCTTTTAAAAAGAAGAAACAAAAAGAGATATGGAAATTCACAAGTTAAAGCATATGTGGCATTGTGGTCATTAAAATTTTTTCAAGTAAAAAATTTTAGTAATTAATGCATAGTGGTTGTATTCTTATAAGGTTAATGAAGTGTTTAAGAGATTTTAGTTTTTTAGCCTCTCTATTTTCTACAAGGTATCAGTAGTTATGTAACATCATCGCCTGAATTTCTAAAGAAAATTCAGTATCCTAATGCATAATTAATTTTTTTCTTGCAAAAACAATACAACCTGTAGGTTAATAGGCTATTTTATAATCTGCTCAGAAAGCTAAGCATAGGTTAATATTTTCTTTTTCCACCATTATGTTTAGGAAGCCATTCCTAGCAAACCTAATCTGTGTTGTCTCAAGAAAAAAGGTGTATGTTTCATTTGATGTGAGTTACTGGTTTTTTGTCATCTTCTGTTCATATGAAGGAAAAAATCAGTGTAAAAGAGGAAATGAGGGATTTGTTCGGTATAATTTTCTAAAGTCCATTTAACAGTCTTCACTTTTGTTATAAAAGAATGCTTTCTTTATTAAGATCCCTTGATCTGCCATTAACGATTAATATCAAACACGTCACTTTACCTTTCTGGGCCTAAGTTTTTTCCTTGTAAGATGAGGAAGCAGTATTAGATCATTCCTAAGTTCTTTTCTAGCTTTAAAATAGTTTGTGTGTGTGTGTGTGTGTGTGTGTTTTGCTGGGGATTGAACCCAAGGTTTCATACATGATAGACAAGTGTGGTACCCCTGAGATATATCTTCAGTCCTAAATCTTGTAGTTTAATGTGTAATGCTAACTTCCTAACATAATATATCCAAGCTACTGACAAACTGAGAAATATTTTCTGAAAAATTAGAGAAAATGATATAGTCGAAATATTCTTTTGGATATATTTTATTATGTTTTAATTTTTAAAAATTTTATGGTATATGTGATAACTCTCACATGAACTATTTTTTCTCAACAATTTTTTCTTCAACCAGTGTTGATTAATGAAAGTTCATTTAAAACATTTTCTGAAGTCCCTTAGAATCCCTTAAATCAGTTTTCTATCAAAATCCTTATTATATAAATATTCATAATCACAAGGCTCCACAGAGAGATTGCACAGGGGAGCAAGAGTTAGGTGAATCTACTCTTTTCAAATACATTTCATAGCTAGAGTGTCTAACATTCAGTGTTGGATCAAAATCTTTATTGATTGCTCTCTGGAGACAGTATAGTATAAACTGAATGTAAAGTAAAATAGAAAATGCAAAATTTGAGTTATTTCATGATGTTCACGAATGGGTCATGAGAGAACAGTTCTAGTCACGGGCAAAACCATGGATAGGAGAGAGACTGACAGAATTTGTTAACATTTAAAGAGAAGGAATTTGCCAGTAAATGCTTCAGAATAGAGTGGTTTGGATATCAAAGAATTATGAAGAAAAGTTGGCCTTGTCATAAAGAAAAATAATCTGGAATGATAGTCGATGTAATATGACATCAATAAAATGTCAGTGTAACCTTTATTGTCTTAGAATTAGCACATGACTATAATAATTGCTTAAATAGTCTGAAATTAGCTCTTCTAAAAATTCATTTTGAAATTGAAGTCCTAGTCCAACTTTCTGTTTACTTCTTACCATAGAGATTTGGTTCTGTTTTTATGTAGATTCACCAAATGGCTTTTTAAAAATCTAGTACCAATTATCCAGATATAGACCCAAAAATGAACATATGAAACTTAAATTGATTAATACAGTACCATTCTTGAGTCACCATTAAAAAATTTATTAAATATTTCTATTTTGGGGGTGCCAGTGTTAAATTTATGTCTTCCCTTTGTAGAGAATAGGGTGGTGAGAACAGAAGAAATGCTGAAAAAAAAAATTCTGGGTTATAGACAATCAAAGGTTAAATTCGTGTAGGATATTTCTTAATATCTGAACTCTGATTTATATGTGCTACTTTGAAGTTCACGGATCCCAAAGGAAATGACCTTTGCATTCCTGCATGGTTCATATACTCAACTTCAAGTTAAACATTTTTATAGAATTTTCTATATGCAGTTTGAAAATAAAACAAACCTGTGTCTGTGTATAAAACTTTTTTTTTTAATTAAATGAACTATTTCAATCTGTACATTTGAGGGTAGGTAGATTTATACATTTGAGGTAGTTGCCTGTTAGGGGAAATCAAAGAGACTTTACAAGTAGGGAGGTCAGGTTTAGAGGTTGTACTTTCTTTATCCAGTGTGGGTTGTGTATTTGACATAGGTGTTCTGAGTCTTATATATATATGATTTATTTCCTTTGTCATGAAATATCTCTTTCCCATAGTTGTCTGTTCCCCATACCTCTCTCTCTCTTTTTTAACTCCTTGTCAATAATGAAAGACTAAGGAAGTTTAAAATCTAAAATTTGGGCTCAGGTAGAGAACATAGATATCATTTATTTTATTTCCTGAGTGTAATGGAAGACAACGTAGTTGGTAAACTCTGAGATTTAAATACAAGTTATGTAACTAAAGTTGGAAATTCTTTAATAAGTTATTCATAAAGGAAAGATTTTAAAGCCAGTCTATCATAACATTGAAATGACATAATAGGAGATAGAAGAGAAATAGAATAAAATTGATTTTATTTGAGAGAAGAGAAAATTTCAGTTGGTAGTTGTTCAGAGCTGATGTTCTTTATGAAGGGAAGCCTTTTTTCTCTCCTTAGAATGGAAAATAGTTATTGATAGATTGGCTGACTATTTAAAAGCAGCTCCAAAGCACTTGAGAAAAATCTGGATATAGAAGTGCACAGGTAGCTTCTTGTAGTGCTGATGTGGCCAGTCTAGATAAACTTTAGAGGCCTTCTTGAGTTTTGGAAAACAGTTCTTCTGTTTGATGGGTCCTCAGATATTCTTTTTTTCAGAAAAAATTTTGTTTTTTTTTAGTTATACGTGACAGTAGAACATATTTTGTCATATTGTACATATATCTACAGAATATAACTTCCCTTGTGTTTGTACATGATGTGGAGTTGCACTGGTTGTATAATCATACATGAACATAGGTCAGTTATGTCTGATTCATTCTGCTGTCTTTCCTATTCCCATCCTCCCTCCTTTCCTTTCATTTCCCTTTGTCTAAGCCAGTAAACTCCTCTCACCCCCTAGCGGTGCACTTATTGTGAGTAAGCATCTGCATATCAGAACATTTGGCCTTTGGTTTGGGGGTAATCGGCTTATTTTACTTAGAATGCCGTAATTCCATTCTTCTTTATGGCTGAGCAATATTCCATTGTGTGTGTGTGTGTGTGTGTGTGTGTGTGTGATTTATTTATATATTGATATATATATATCACGTTTTCTTTATCCATTCATTTGTTAAAGGACAGCTAGTTTGTTCCATAGCTTAGCTATGGTGAATTCAGTTGTTATAAACATAGATGTGGCTGCATTGCTATAGTATGTTGATTTCAAGTCCTTTGGGTATATACTGAGGAGAGGAATATAGCTGGGTCAAATGGTGGTTCCATTTCAAGTTTTCTAAGGAATCTCCATACTGCTTTCCAGAGTGGTTCCATCAATTTGCAGTCCCACATCCTCATCAACATTTATTGTAACTTGTATCCTTGATAATTACCATTCTGACTGGAGTGGGATGGAATATTAGTATAGTTTTAATTTGCATTTCTTTAATTGCTAGAGATGTTGAACATTTTTTCATATATTTTTTGACTGATCATATATTTTTTGTGAACTGTCTGTTCAGTTTTTTAGCTGAATTTATTGATTGGGTTATTTATTTATTTTTTGACTTTTTTTTTTGAGTTCTTCATATATCTTGGAGATTAATGCTTTGAGATGCAGATGGCAGATATTTTCTTTTATTCTGTAGGTTCTCTGTTTACATTCCTGATTCTTTGCTGTGAAGAAGCCTTTTAGTTTGATACCATACCATTTATTGATTCTTGATTTTACTTATAGTGGTTTATGAGTCTTATTGAACAATTCAGTTTCTAAGCTGACATGATGCAGATTTGGGCCTACTTTTTGTTCTAGTAGGTGTAGGGTCTCTGGTCTAATGCCTAGGTCTTTGATCCACTTTCCTCAGATGTTCTTAATGTGATATTTATAAAAATAGAATTGCTGGCAGTTCATGTAGTTCCATTTTATTTAGTTGTATTGTTGTGGGTCAGAGGACCTGAGCAGATAGAGATGTGAGCTGGTGGTCTCAAAAAATTTTGAGTTGAAAATGCCCAAGTGATTCTTAAGGTAAGTGGGGATGGCCTTTGAGTTTATGCTGGCTTTCTACTGGAATGAGCTTGATACCATCAGTCTAGATCCTGTATGAAATGGTTAATACAGTTCTGTTCCTCGATCGTCATTTTTTTTTTTTTTAAAGATAGAGGGGGGTGGAGAGAGAGAGAGAGAGAGAGAGAGAATTTTTTAGTATTTATTTTTTATTTTTTGGCGGACACAACATCTTTGTATGTGGTGCTGAGGATCGAACCCAGGCCGAATGCATGCCAGGCGAGCATGCTACCGCTTGAGCCACATCCCCAGCTCTCGATCATCATTTTAACATTTGAAAATGTTAAAGAAACAAAACTATGTGTTTTACCAAAGTATGCTTCACCACCTCTCACCCATTAACCACATTTTCTCATTTATTGTGTTGGCAGTAACTAATTTTCTGTCCAGGTATTTACAGTGTTGGAAGGTTTTCTATAAATTTTTAGTTTTATAATTCAGGGACTTGTAGGAGAAGTGATTGGGTTTTGAGATCCAGATATATAAGAAGGGACCTGAAAGTGTTTTCTTGCATTTTTCCGTGTAAGTAATTCAT